TATCGACGGTTTCGTAGTGGGATACGGAGAATGGATGGCGATGGTGGTAGTGGTAGTAGTCAATGTTAGGGTGCAGAATTGGATGGGGAAGAGCCATTGTTTAATAATAAAAAAAATTATTTTTCTATTTTTAATCCTTTTCTCACATTTTTTTATACTTTTATTTTCTTTTTAATTATTTTTTTTGGTTATGGTGGTCGAGCGTAGGGCATCGGATGGAGGTAGGTGGGGTTAATTGAAAAGACAACATAAATTTTTTTAATTAGTATGTTGTAAATTGTTTTACATGAAATTCGTTTGTACTTTTTAAAAAATTTGGAACTCTAGTTGACAATTCTTTTTTTTCGTATTTTTTCTTTTCTATTTGTTTATTAAAGAAGAGAATAAATTAGTCATTTTACAATGCTTTAATGGATAAAATAGACGATAAGTACCTTTTACACAAATAAATGTAGATTTGAGGGTTCAAATGTCAAAATAACAATGATAGGACGATTTGTGTATTGTAGGAAAACGATAAAGATGTTTTGCACCAATTACTATTATTTGATGGAAGAAATTGACCGAACGAGATGGAAAAGACCGACGACACAAGAAAATGTAGAAATAAAGGGAGCAAATGTCTACTTTGAAATGATAGGAAAGATTTGCGCAGTGAATTTTAATTACCATGAAAATGAGATATAACTACTGATTACATGAATTTCTTTGTTTGTTTATGGTAATTATCAATAGTTGTTTTCATCCTTTAAAATTTTCTGAAATTTTTGAAAGATCAAATTTCATTATTGTATTAAAATTTTTGATTTACTATATACGGATATGATAGACTCCTCTCAAGCTTTAAAATGACCTAGAAGAATTGAGAAACAGATAATAATAATAACAAATTCTGTTAGATTTTGTTACAAAATATTTATGAATAGGTAAGAGGTGGAATGTATTACGGAGGAAAATATTGAGTAGTGGGTTGAGCTCCAAGCCTCTCAAAAGTTTTGGAATTGTCATTTAATTGCCGTTTTCATTTCATCACTTGTTGTTAATTCTTTTAGCAATTCAATAAACAGTTTATTACTACACTTTTTCTCACTTAGACGACTTTATCAATTCCCCAGTTACTAAATTGTATCTAACCAGTCCTTGATCTCCAGAGGGGAATCCATTAATTGAAGCACAACAGCAGGGGAACTTATCAAAATGGTATCAAAGCAACTATTCTGGCCTTGGGGCATTACATCTAATGAAGAAAAGCAACTAGAAGATCGAGTCAATAAATTGGAGACGAATTCCTGAGCCCAAGAGTTATGAAGAACTTGAATAGAAATTGAGAAGGATTTTTCGATGTGCATTTCTTTTTCTTTTTTCTTTTTTTTTTTTTCTTTTTTTGATAGGTATATCCACTTGAGTGGGAATACCTTCACCCCGGAAATGATGAAATAGGATGAATTGAAATTAATAAAATTCAGTTGGAAATATAGGAAGATCTGAAAAGCACTAAAATCTTAAATTAAGATGGTATTGTTTATCATGATGGAGAAGCTCGACTTGATGATGAAAAAATTGAAACGAGCAAGGGTAGAAGAAGGTCAAGCAGCGTATACATGAACTGGATGAAAATGGGGCAATTACTAATAGCCATAACCGTATAGAAAACCAAGTAAGGCAAAGCCACGCGATTGTAGGCTGAAATGCTAGTTTCGGAAGGAATTGAAGCTCCATTGCCGACAATTTCTGAAGCGACGGAAGACTATTGTATTACTGGGCTGAAATCAATTAAAGTCAGGGGGCCAAAGCTTGGGGGTTTGGGCTTTATTAGGGAGTTAGCCCAACACTTGGAAAATAAGAATCAAATTGGTAAAGCAGGCCTGAATGAGTTTAAGCCCAAATAGAAATAAAAAAATTTTTAGCAGCCCAAACTTTTTTAATGGCCCATACTTATGCCCATACACTCACCCTTATATCTCAACCGACTCAATACAAATCATCCACCCAAAACTAGCATTGTTACAATGCTTCGACCACCGGCAATGACAAGTGAAATTCCTGCGGTAGGTTCAGTTGGTTTTGGGATTTGTATAGACAACATTCTAATTCTAGGTGGTCAATTGACTACATGAGTTAACAGATGCAACAAGCGTACTCACCTACACTTGGTGAATTTGGGGGCGATGCATAATGATAGATGTTATCAAACTCTAGAAAGACCCAGGAAAATTGAGAAGCAATTAATAATAACAAATTATGTTAGAGTTTGTTACAAAATACTTGTAAATAGAGAAGAGGTAGAATGTATTAGGGAGGAAAATATTGAGTGGTGGGTAGAGCCAATTAGGAAAGATCCAGGCCTCTCTAAAGTCTCGGAATTGTCATTTAGTTGTTGTTTTATTTCATCATCAGTTGTTAACTCTTTTAGCAATTCAATAAACAGTTTATTATTCCAATTTTTCTCTCCTAAACTACTTCATCAATTCCCCAATCCTTGATCTCCAAAGGGGAATTCATTAATTGAAGCACAATAGTCAGGGAACCTATCAAGATATGTAACCCCCGTTTGGCCCCCCTTTAAAAATTTTCAATTTCATTTA